ATCCATTAGCTGGGGGAGCCTGGGTGGCTCAGATGGTTAAGCCTCCAACTCTTGATTTTGGCTCAGGCCGTGATCTCACGTTTCCTGAGTTCAAGCCTCGCGTCGGGCCCTATGCTGACAGTGCGGAGCCTGCTTGCGATTCTCTCTCTCTCCCCCTCTCTTTGCCCCTTCTCTGCTTGCTCATGCACGTGCACACGCGCTATCTCTCAAAATAAATAAATGAACTTTAAAAAAGTAAAAAAAATCCATTAGCTATTTACTTAGAGTAAGAGGACCACAAATGAGGCATTGAAAAAAGTTTGAAATTTTGTGTTTCTGTGTTTATTTCTCCCCACAGTCCAGAAGGAGAGTTATCCTCAGCTCTGTCCTAGTAGGGGTGAAGTCTGAAGTGGAGAGAGGGTCAGGTTGAGAACGGTGGGGCTCGGATTTAAACTCAGTGTTATCTGCACGTAGTTCCTAAGCTTATATGTCACATAATAATTGGATGTGGTTCCCACTTATTCCAGAAAACCATTTCCAAGGATCTTAGGGTTTTAAATGTTTTAAAATAAAGGCGGGGAGGGGACTCAGTAGATGCATGGAGTTCTTTGTGCTGATTTTAAAAGTGAGATTAGGGATTTGGCGGGAAACAGTTATAAAGACTCAAGAATTCATGGTATAGCTCAATTATTTTTGATATGCGTTACTAGCTTAACAAGTAAGGTTCAATTTTGCTAAATAAAATGTAGGAAAGGGGACAACGGATTTTTATATCCTCCAAATTCTCCTCATTGTGTCTCAAACACAAAACACCATTAAGACCGAACAGCATATATAGGATGGCATTTGAAAAAATATTTAAAAAAACTTTTTTAATGTTTATTATTTTTTTGAGAGAGACAGAGACAGAGCATGAGCAGGGGAGGGGCAGAGAGAGAGGGAGACAGAATTTGAAACAGGCTCCAGGCTCTGAGCTGTCAGCACAGAGCCCACAGCGAGGCTCCAATGCAGGAATGGAGGGATCATGACCTGAGCTGATGTTGGACGCTTAACCGACTGAGCCACCCAGGCGGCCCCATAAACTTGAAATCTTAGAAAAGAAACACATTTTCGAAATAACAACAAAAAAGACATGTCTCTTTAAAGCTTTTAATTAAAAAAAAAAGAAAAAAGGGTAAAACAGGAGATGGCATTCAAAAGGACAAATGATTAAATCATAATATTTCTGTTTCTTTTCATTTGCTGTAACAAATCATTTTCTTTGGAGTGGTGTTTTTTTTTAATGCTCATTTCTTCCCAAAGAAAAATCACTAAAAAGTAAGTTTTCCAGCATAAAAAATCCACTCAGGTTCTCCTTGGGAGCTATAAACAACGGGCACACTTTTCAGTGACAACTAATGACGCAAACGTGAAACTAATGACGCAGAAACCGTACCAGATTCTTACACATTCACGCGAAAGGTGACACACACAAGTGCTTTTTCTTGATGACTCACGAGACTATTTCCAGTTTTGACCCGGGAAGAACAAAAACTAGAACTTTCTCTGTTTGGCATGGAAATCTTATCAGCTTCAAATACCAGCGCTGCCAGTGTGAAATGAGCTGACCTCAGGTGTCACTCTCTGTAATTCAATTCACAGAGCACAACGGATTCACGGAGCTCTTTCTCAGAAAGGCAGGTGCGGTGCCCGTGTGTATATGTCTATGTATGCGGTGTGTGGTTTTTAATTTTTTTTTGAAAAGTTCTTATCATAAAGATTCCATCTAAGGATGAGAACTTCCTTCTGCCTGCACAGGGTTCCCAAAGGTCTGTCGCTCCGCCACTAACACCAAGCCTCTTGGTAATGCTCAGAAGCTTGCGTCAAAGACAGGAAGGGAAAAGCAGAAGTGAAAAAGAAGGAGATGAAAACAGAGGACCCAAGAAATAGAAAAATCTAAGAAAGCTTGCTTACCATACTATTAAATGAGGATAATGATTTGTACCCCCAGGCATCCAACATATTTCTGAACTCATTGTGTTTCTAAATTTAGTCATAAAATCCTGTTCATGTCGGCCCATCCAACACACAAGCAACCTATCTTTTTTTTTTTTTAACAAATATCAGGCCAAATTTACACATAAACCTACATTTGTATGAATGTCGTCCTGTCCTCCAGGGTTGGATTAACGGCTTTATTACTGTATCACTATTTTGGGACTTTGTGAATAAGGTTTTGTATGGCTTGCTTGTTTCATGAACACCCTAACTGTAATAAGATAAATACTCTCAAATCTCGATGAGTCCATATAAATACCCATTTCAATAATAAACCCACCCATGGTCACAATTTGCAATGGAAGCCTTCAATATGTGTTAGAGATTTCAAATAAATAGCAAAGCTAGAGTGTTATACCTTTAAATGCTAAACTGCCATTCAGGAAGTTGAAGGAAAACTTGAACAGATTTTCTAGCCAGTTGATTTTTTTTTTTAATGTTGAAATTTTCAGTGGAAGTCACAATTTCTGAGATTTATATTTGGAAGAAAAATGCAGCAAGAAACATATTGTAAGCATTTCTGGTGACTCTATTACTGAATGTCTCAGTCTCAATGCAGACAATAATACTGTTACATTTTGCTCTGAGAAAGTGTTCTTTCATTCTCCAACGGGACTCTGTAGTCATATGTGTTTGAACAGAATTCTGAAGGAAACGAGAAGAGGGGATGAAAAAACGAGACTCATGCTCTTCCCATATAGATTCAACATGCCATACAGAACAACCCAACCTTTGGCTGACTTCAGACCACAGAGTACATGTTTTAGGAGTCCACGAAATTAAAATCTGTGGTTCCCAGACTTCCAAGGCATTAATGTAGTCAGTGTCTGGAAATTATCGAAGGCAGAGAAAATACTGCCTCATGGTAACATCCTAGATGGAAACCAATTAGCTCTTTCAGGTACCAGGGACTGCAAGAGGAAATTTACTACAGATTCTCCACCAAACTCACCTCAAATTTCAGGATACTGTGAAGAAATTTCAAGGCAGAAAACAACACCAAATTCTAAGGTTTCACATGCTTACCATGCATCATTCTAGAATGTTCTAGCATTCTACCATGAACCTTTGCTGGAAATCTGATTCTTTGTATTCAGATCAGAACCAATAGTTAAGAGTTGTGGGTAAGATTCCCATAAAAGAAAAGGCATTGCTGTATTCAAAGTCTTTATAGCAGATTTTTTGGTGGGACTCACCTGAGGAGGAATAGAACTTCTTTAGGTCTATAAGCCACCAAAAAATGTGCATGACATTTGTAGGGTATGGTGGCCATGCTGAACAAGTAGAAAAACTGGAACAGAGGTCAGGCAATCATGTTCAGATCCTGGCTCTTTCACTAAAACCCTATTTGTGGGTATGCAGGGTACTTTTCCTCCATCCACAAGACAATCCAAAAATTGTTACACAGACTTTAGGTATAAACTAACGAATGACATCACCTTTAATGCTGAAATGAGGAAACATAAAATATAACAGTGAAGAGTTCCACATCTTCATGGTAATTTCTTTAACAAAAATGACAAATCACATGTCGTCCAACTGATCAAGAGGAGGAAATGGGCTACTTCTCTAACATTTTACAATTTGTTACCACCATAATGGTGCTGTATACCAATAGTGATTGCCATCTATATACTTCTTTATAGTGCTGAGATTTTCATATATTTTTTCAGAGTTAAGACTTCTGTGGCTATAGTACCCACGATACCCTACTGGGTTCCAAAATACAGAATACCACATTTGCATTAACAAATATTATTTTTCATTTTATACTTTTAGATCACGGTCTATATATGATGAAAAGTAACATCTTTGTTTCCAAAACTTTCTCTGTAAAATAGGATGCATCTTATCCACACCTGTATCTCGCAGAACAGCAATGATATCAGGTATGGTTGTTTCTTTGGGTTATGATTTCCTTGTTTGTCCAACGGAGATGATATAGGCCCCTACTAGCTTCATTAGGCTGTTGCAAACATCGAGATCATTTAGGCACAAGTTTTCTGAGATAAATAAAGCATTATGCAAAATGCTGTTACCCTGTTACAAGCTACAGAAGCAACTAGGGATTAAGTCAGAGTCCTTTGAGGAATATAGAATTTCTTCTCCTGTCGCTAGGTGATAACACCTGCCTGGTTCCTTGGCTAACGGCTAGGTCATTCTAGAGAAGAAAAAAAATTTTAAAGAGACCTTTGTCAGGCTGTTAGGAAGCTGAATTTTCTTGCCAATGGAATCAACTGAACGATCTATTCTGTACACGTAAGTTTGAAATTGGCATTCAATTTCCACCTGTTGCCCAAGACTTTAAAGAAGAGAGAAGGTCACACCTATGAATGTAAGAGATAAAATGTTTTTGTATGGAGGTAAACACAAAAACACATCTCTGTTAAACTGACCCCTTGCATTTAACACAATGACTGAACTTCCTTTCAGAAGATATGGTTGCATAAATATTTCTTATGGTTTACTCTTCCACTAATCTAAGACATTTTTCTTAAAAAATACCCCCAGATAGGCTTCATCTTTTAACACTGCCCAATTATTTGAAATCTAATACTTCTTCCAACTCTGTAAATACAATCATTTTGTCTAAATTTTTGTCTCAACATAAAAATCTCAGCATAGGGCCAGCTTTTACTCAAACTACCTGTTTCAGGTACGTATTACAATGGAAAAAGACAGCCAACAAATAAACATACAAGTAGGAAAAGAAGGCTGTAAGGAACTACCTATTAAAATTGGTTGGTAGGATTATGGCTAATCTAATCTTGATTTTGGTCCACTGGCCTACATCCTCTACATCTTTTTTTTTTTTTAAGGTTGATTTTTATTTATTTTGAGAGAGAGATAGAGAGCAAGCAGGGGAGGGGCAGAGACAGAGAGAGGGAGACAGAATCCCAAGTAGGCTCTGTACTGTCAGCGTAGAACCCAAGGCAGGGCTTAAACTCACCAAATGTGAGATCGTGACTTGACCCAAGATCAAGAGTCACACACTTAACTGATTGAGCTACCCAAAGGCCCCTACCTTGTACAACTTTTGAACATTTTTCTGCTTAAGAACAAGCATGTTTTACTTTTACAAGAAGGGTTGGGGGGGTCATTTACATCGAAAGAGTCTCAAGAATACTAGATAAATATACAATACGAGATGCCTCCGACACTGTCTCAGACACTGAACAGGAACTGGAAGGCTCACAAAAGTTCCTTTTCACAGCTAGCTCAACCTGCTTAAACAATGCTAAGTGTGTCATCATTTTTTTTTTTAAAAAGAGAGAGATAAATACCATTTTTGAAAAAATGAAAGCACATTTCCTTTTAAGGGCAACGAATTCAGCAACATTTAACGAAGCTTTTAAAACTCAGTTGTCACAGAGCACCATTAAATATTCACACGAAAGAGATCCAGGCAGCTTAAAGATGGACATGTCCTTGTTCTCGAGATGTCCACTCCGCTTGCGACAATATGAAAACTATTCAGTGCATCTGGTTGGGGCCCACATGGATGATGACGTGTTTCTCATAAGCCCTTTTCATTGTTTTCTCGATTTGCTTCAAAAACACTTGTGGGATTCGTCCACATAAAGTGTGCACAGTCTCCAAAAACTTCAGCTGGAGAGGGTAATACATGGATTGAAAGAGATTGTCTTGAAAGGGAAACTGAAAAATGATTTTAAAAAAATGAGAGAAAACGTTTATTTTAGTTACTGAAATGCAAACAACATTTACTAAAAAATGAAGCAGGGCAATTAAGCATGCAAGCATCAGTTTGGATGTTCTTAGCCATAGTGGAAAGGAATTCTGAGAATAGAGATTCAAAACCTGATTCAATCCTGTGCAACCCAAGGCAATTGCTTACCCTCTCTGGGCTTCAGTTTCTTCCCTATTTTATTTTTATTTTTTTCCAGTTTTTATTATTTATTTTTTTAATAGTTTATTGTCAAGTTGGTTTCCATATAACAGCCAGTGCTCATCCCCACAAGTACCCTCCTCCATGCCCATCACTCCTCTTCCCCTCTCCGCCACCCCCATCAGCCATCAGTTTGTTCTCAGCATTCAAGAGTCTCTCATGGTCTGCCTCCCTCCCTCTCCCCAACTATTTTCCCCCCTTCTTCTTCCCCATGGTCTTCCGTTAAGTTTACCCTAATCCTCCTATACGGCAAACATATGGTATCTGTCCTTCTCTGCCTGACTTCTTTCGCTCAGCATAACACCCTCAAGGTCCATCCATGTTGCTACACAGGCCAGATTTCATTTTCTCATTGCCATGTAGTATTCCATTGTATAGATAAACCACATCTTCTTGAACCATTCGTCTGTTGATGGACACTTGGGCTCTTTCCATGTTTTGGCTACTGTTGAGAGTGCTGCTATGAACATTGGGGTACATGGGCCCCTATGCATCAGCACTCCTGTATCCCTTGGGTAAATTCCCAGTAGTGCTATTGCTGGGTCCTAGGGGAGATCTATTGTTAATTTTTTGGGGAACCTTCACACTGTTTTCCAGAGGGGCTGCACCCGTTTACATTCCCACCAACAGTGTAGGAGGGTGCCTGTTTCTCCACATCCTCAGTTTCTTCCCTATTTTAAAAATAGATGGTTTATTTGGGTCCTTAAAACTCTTAAAATTTAAGATGAAAATGTATCTTCAAGGATGGGATATTCTCTATATAATATGCTGTTGCTGAGGGAAAGCAAAGCTCAAGTAGAGACGTGACATCTATAGCAATAAAACACTGAATTCTTCATATATTTTGTGTTTGTCGCCATCTTTTCTTTTCCTGTTTATTTATTTATTTATTGGGGTGGGGGGAGGCAGAGAAAGAATCCCAAGCAGGTTCGTGCACTGCCAGTGCAGAGCCTGATGTGGGGCTCGATCCCATGAGCCATGAGATCAGTACATGAGTCGAAGTCAAGAATCAAACACGGAACTGACTGAGTCACCCAGGTGCCTTTGTATTTGTCTCTATCTTGAATGAAGAAACTCTAGGGTATGTCTGTAGTGATCTCATGAACTCCACAGTTTAGCAACTACTAGTGAAATTTATCGTCAATGAAATTCATTTTATAAGTTAGGTACCAAATACCGCTTGTTGAGTTTTTTCCCATTTAATATTGTGCTATTTTTTTTTTTCTTTTAAAGTAGGCCACATGCGGGGTGTGGAGCCCACCGCCGCAGGGCCTGAACTCATGACCCCGGGGATCAAGACCTGAGCTGAGATCAAGAGTCAGATGCTTAACTGACTGAGCCACACTGGTGTCCCATTAAAAAAAAAAAAATTCTCTTCTTTTCCCATGAAAGGTGTCTATAAACAAAATTTTCCAAAATAAATCTTCCAGACGACTTAGTTATGAGCATGCGTCAAATTTTTATTACAATCTGCTTGAGATGGAAAAGGCCTCTAGTAGATAAAGTTAAGGATTCTTTGTTGGCGAGGAAATTTTATACAAAGAGAGTAGGGGGGAAAAAAGGAAGAAAAGAGAGTGAAAAGGTCGGTAAGCGCCTGCGTGGCAGCCAAGGGGGTGGGTGTCTGGTTTCCTAGAACAAGTCTTAATCCCTTTAAAGTTCATCAGAAATATTGCATAAGCGTGTTTATCAGAAACACGAATTTCTTCCCAGAAGGAGATTATGCATTATGTAACAATGTAAGAAGGACCCTGTTTGCGACAGCTGTTTTCTTTCACAGCACAGTTTAGACTATTGATCAACTCCTTTTTCACCAGGGCATCCCTCGTGATAGGAAAATAGGTCAAAACCTCGAAGTCATCCTACTCTTTCTTTCCCCCACATCTCCCTTCCCATCAACCTGCAAATGCTGTAAAATCCGTCTTTACAACGAATCCAGCATGTGGCTGCCACTGCCCACCTTCTGCGGCCACGCAAGTGCGTGGCAGCCCTCCTGGCTCTAACTCTCATCGTAGTATGGCCGCAGTAACTCTCATCGGTAGCCCTCACGTTCTCACTCATGCCTCCCTGCACTGAGTTACCAAGGTGATATTTTTAAAGCATAAAGCAGACCATCTCACTTTCCTGCAGGGGCTTCATAGTGCAATAATAATAAGATTCCAACTCCTCTCTTGCATTCTAGGCTCCATATGACCTGGAATTGTCTGTCCTGGCCACCCTGAGCTCTTCCCTGTCCTTTGAGCTCACCAAACTCCCCCCTGCCTCAGGGGCTTTCCCTGGGTTATTCCTCCTCCTTAGCTGGAGCCTCACCTAGAGCACCCCAGGGCCGCCTCCACCGATCACTTTATTAGGCTGCGGAGGCCCCCTGAGGACCCCAGCTCACCAGCCCTCCTCCCTACCTGTGACTCTCAGCCCATCACCCTGCTCCAGTTCCCTTTTAACACCTTTCACTACATGGTTCAAGTTTTCTTTCTTTCTTTGTTTATGTGAGTACAGCCTGGCTTCCTCCACCACAATATATGCGTCATGGGGACCGGGCTTTGCCGGTCTTGTTAACTTCTGAGTTTCTAGAGCCTAGAATTGCTCCTGCCTAAAAGAGGCTCTTCAGAGATGATTACTGGAAGAAATGACAGAATGTCTACCTGATAGGTCAATTCCTTGGGTCACGATGGGAGGAGACTGTACGGCCCCTTCTCCAGACACAGACACACAGGCTTAGGGTATGTGTGAGAGACAGAGAGAGGAGAAGGGAAGGGAAGGGAGGGGCAGTGAGATGGAAGGGAAAAGAAACAGGGAAGAAGGACAGAAGGAAAGGGGGAAGGGAGAGGGACAGGAAGAATATTTTCAGAGAGGGATGAAGGGAGAAAGAAATACAGTGTGAGAGAGACAGAACACTTCGGAAGAGAGAGAGCAAGTGACGCAACGTGGACAAGGTAGAAAAGGAAGTAAGTGTGAAACTGTTAATAACTTCCAAGTCTTGAGAACAACCATATGTCACGTGCCATACTACAAATGTGAAAACCATCAGTTTGTTACATTCATACAAGAGGTAGATACATTATCACCTATATTCACAGATGAGGAAACTGAGGCCCAGGAAGGTAAGAGCAAAGAGTTAATGACTAAACACCAGAAAGGGACAAAAATTGGGCCCTGAATCGAGGTCTGCTGACCCCTACCCCAAGGCCTGGCCCCACCACGTGAGCCCAGTCCGGCGGGGAGAGCAGGCAGACATGTCTTCCAAGAGAGAGTCTACTTCTGTTCAGGTTTCAGAATGGGGTTAGTGATATTCCTGACTGAAATGCTTCAGTGAAAATGGTCCCTTTAGGCCCGGGGGAGGATCATCACTGAGTGTATCTGGCAGGATCATTTATGACACAGTTATTGGTTTTCTTCCTTCTCCACCAGAAAGGAAACAAGATGCAGTGTAACTTAAGAATCACAGTTGCTCAATTCCAGACTCGAGCTGACAGATCACAAAAGAAACCCAAGAACAGCTCTGAGGTCCACATACTTGCTGCATACTCACTGAACCTCTATTGGTACTTCTCAGTGGCTTTGCCCCTGACGCCAGTGTTTGAATATCTAAAGTGGCGATATCACTAAATACAGAACAAATTTTCTGTGTAATTAAGTCACCTGGTCTTTGAAAACCACCAGCAGGAAATGCAGAAGAAAGCGGTGTTCCCTTACATGCAGGCTAACCTCATTCCCTGCGGAGAAAATTCTGGGAATTCCAGAGACCCTCCTTAGCAAGAGGCATATTACTCACACACACAAAAATGTATTGCCGTATCTCGGGATTCACTCCCACCAAAGCCCACTCGTGAAACTGTGAGGGTTTCTAAATTCTTAAGAAAAAAAATCCTCAAAATCTACATACTTTATGTTGGGGGCCAGCAAACGTTTCCTATAAAGGACCAGATACTAAATATTTTAGGCTTTGGGGGCCACACACGTTGTTACAAATACTCATCTCTGCCACCGTGGCTTGAAACGAGCCACACATAAACACATAAATGAATGGGTGTCACTGGGTCCCCATAATGCTGTATTGATGACTGCCGAAACTGGAATTTCATATCATTGTCTCACGTTATGAAATAGTCTTTTCCTTTTTCCCCAATGACTTACAAGCCCGTTCAGAGCCCACATGTCTTACAAACAGAGGCAGCAAGGCAGATCTAGTCCCAGCTTGCTGACCCCTATTCCATGTCTTGGAATTACCCTTTCAAAAGGGGCATCTCTGAATATCTGCTGCTGGTTTTCTTGTAGCAATCTCCAAAGCAACGCAGAATGCAGCGTTTCCCACAGTGTGGGACGCAAGGCAGAAGCAGGCAGGATTTGACATTTTAGGTAGTGAACCCCAAAGTGAGATTTTTTTCCAACTTTCCCATTTACTGCAAGAAAATAGTTCCCGGGGGTCTTTAATTTCCCCACTCTTGCTAATCAATCCCTTCAAGGTTGTAAGAGGGGACCTCAGGGGTGACAGGTCCAGCTCCAGGCCAAAATTCTCTGTGTGATCTTTCAGACTCAACTACAAGGCCTCTGGCTGGCTCTGGTGGGGCCGCGAGCTGCCCTTTGGACACCAGACTTGGTGCGCAGGGAACACCCTACAGTTTACCTGAAGGAAGTGTAGTCAAGAACTCGGGCCCCTGCCCTGGGCCAGCCATTCTCCAATGCATATGTGCATTCCCATCCCAGGCACCTCTGTTTTGATGTCTGGGGGTGGGGGGAGAAAGGGACAAAGGATGGGCAGGATGGACGCAGGAGGGGAGTTGGGAGGGTGTTCTCTTTCCACTTCTCCCTCTTCCCCTTCTGCTTCCTCCTCCTCTGGTCTAAAGTAAGGGTCCATAAGGATGCAGGGGCTTAGAGAGGACTTTTGCCTCTGGACAGCGCTCTCCTGATCAGTACCCTTTGCGGGGTAAAAACGCAACACGAGGGCTAATGCCTCTTTTTGCCTCTTGACGGCAATATGTAACTAAAGACTTGGGTTTTACTTTCTGTTGGACCCCTTGCCCTAATCGGCCACCTCCACGCCCACACATTCAACAGGACGCTGGCAACCAGGCAGCACGCGAAGCCTGAGCTGCGTCGTTTTGTTCTTATAACGTCATCATTACCCTAACACATTCCCCTCTATTATGGCAAATGGCACCGGGTTTCCTTCTGATAGCTAATTTCCTCCTTAAGTGAACTGATGTAAGGACAAAAAAAAAAAAAAGAGGAGTGACTTACTTGTAAATATTGAGTGGATGCAATGCGAGGGGGCAAGTGGATATAGTGAAATAGAGACGGAGATTGGGGAAAGGGATATAGCCCAGTGCTTGCAGGGGATTCTTTGCCTTCCAAGGCACCAGTGACCGAATGGCCCGTCCCGTGCTGAATAAGCACGTGTTTGCTGAACAGCGGCAAGAACACACTTACATCCCGTATCGCTTCATAGAGGGCTTTGAACGTTGGCTGCTTTTCATCGTGGTAGACACCTCGGTTCCCGTGCAGAACAGACACGCCTTCCCGCTCAGCTCCTTTGCAGTTGCTGCCGTACATGCAGTGATCGGGGCGGTAGTTCCACTGGCAGGGGAACACGTAGAGACACTCTGGCGGCGACAAGAGAGAGACGGGTCCACAGTCAGTGCCGGCTCTCCCCTGCACGGCTGGCGCTGAAGCCAGTGTTTCCAGAATCGGCGTTCCCCACGCAATTTCAGTGCACGTGAGCGTGACTGTGACCCACAGCCCTGATGTCACCACCCTTCGTCCTTATTTTGAGGTAGGGAATTGAAGGGGCACGTGCTAGTGATGCTGTAGGTCTCACCCAAAAAAGGAGGGCAATACATCACGGACCAGGAGGCAGACAAGGTCGGCAGGTGGCCTGGGTCCGAATCCCAACCGTCTCACTCAAACACAGTGCAACCTAGACCTAGTGATTCAACCTCTCTGTGCTTCGCTCTCCTCATCTGTAACATGGGCACAACAGGACCACCCTCTTACTGTGAGGATTACATTTAAAAAACACTCAGCAGAACGCCAAGCACACAGTGGTGGCCAGCAGTGTTAGTACGGACAATGCACTCTTTGGAAAGGTTTTATGAAACAGACAAGACTTGAAGAATGGGAATCAAGATCGAAGCAAAGATTCCTCTTTGGATTAAAAACCAACCAACCAACCAACCAACAAAACAAAAATGAAGGAAAAAACAAAAACACTACAAGACTAAAGAGGGGAAATCCTCCCCAAACAGCAAAGCAAAACAAAAAATGCCCTTGGGTCAAGGTGACTATATACACTGCGAGCGATCGTGTGCACACTTGTGCATTTGCAGGGGCATCTCTAATCTGGTGGTTCTTTGGCAGGGCTCGCCTGGGGCCATTGGGCCATGTCCAGAGGGAGGTATCGGTCGTCATACATGGCAGTGGCCACTGCTGGCATCTAGCAGGTAGAAGCCACTGATACTGAAACATTCCACAACGAACAGCCCCCGTAAAAGGAACCGTGCCATGGTGGAGAAACTCGGCTCTAATCCTGCTGCACTCAGGAAATTTCCTCTTGGGAGCTAGGATTATAAAATTAGCAATAAAGTCATGACCGCTGAGCTTCCTGGCTCCACAGTGTGAGGCCTTTCAGGGGTGGGGCTAGAGAAGTATGGATCAAAGCTCTCTGCGGACATTTGTCACTGCTCATGAGAAAGGCCCCCTGGGAGGACACGGAAGCATTAGAGCAAATCAGTTACCATTGTCAGAGGAGCAGCACAAAGCCTTGCTGGGCTGAGAGCTCTCCCGTGCTTGTGTAAAGGACCACAGCTTAGAGACTGCCTACAGAGAGCTTCAAGATGGAAAGCACATATCCTCTCCGGCGGACTGTGTACGATAATTCTACCGTTCAGTTTTTACAGGCCATGCTGACAACCAGCCACACTCCAATTCCTAAGTGTTCCCAACACCCTGTGAGCCCTTCCTTTTCTCGAAAGAACCCCTCTCCACCAAGATGTTGCTCTTACTTGCATGCACTTCCAAGCTTACAATCCATAGCCGGGAGAGAGTAGTGCTCATCCTGAAGTCACGAGATCTAGATTCAAACTCCTCTTTTAGCTGTGTGACTTTTCTGCACTACAGGGCAGAGGGGGGGACGTAAGGATTCCATGAGGGAAAGTATCTAAAAATGCTTGTGTGCTTTTATTTTTTAATTATTTTAAAAGTTTATTTTTGAAAGAGAGAGAGAGAGAGAGCACGAGCGAGCAGGAGAGGAGCAGAGAGAGAGGATCCCAAGTGGACTCTGAGGTGTCAGCACAGAGCCGGACATGGGGCTCGAATTCATGAACCATGAGATCACAACTTGCGCTGAAACTAAGGGCTGGCACTTAACCAACTGAGCCACCCAGGTGCCCTGCTTGTGTGGCTTTAAACCGTGTCTGACCTCAGCCCAATTGTGGCCTTTTGTAACCCCGTGAATCCCAACACTCATTTCTTTTTTTTTTTAATGTTTATTTATTTACTTTTTAATAGTTTATTGTCAAGTTGGTTCCCATATAACACCCAGTGCTCATCCCCACAAGTGCCCTCCTCCATGCCCATCACCTCCCTTCCCCTCCCCCCCATACCCATCAGTCCTCAGTTTGTTCTCAGCATTCAAGAGTCTCTCATGGTTTGCCTCCCTCCCTCTTCCCCCGTTTCCCCCCTTCTTCTCCCCAACGATCCTCCGTTAAGTTCCTCCTAATTCCCCTATACGTGCAAACATATGGTATCTGTCCTTCTCTGCCTGACTTATTTGGCTCAGCATAACACCCTCAAGGTCCATCCATGTTGCTACACATGGCCAGATTCCATTCTTTCTCATTGCATGTAATATTCCATTGTATAGATAAACCACATCTTTTTGATCCATTCGTCCGTTGATGGACACTTAGGCTCTCATTTCTGACACCTGCATGCGTATCTGCTTAAGCAGCTGCTAACGTTCCCTGCTGAGTGAATCGCCCTAGAAGCCATCTCTGTTTTTTGTAAATATGCTGATTTCATCAACAAATATTTATTGAGTGCCTGCTATGTATTCAGTGGCCAAAGGAAAGGCTGGTTCCTGCCAATGTGTTGTCTGAGATGGGTGATGGGAGGGTTTTGCCTCCTCCCAGGTAATGAGGGACCCATTGCAAAGGGAACCTTCCCTCTCTTTGCAGTCTCCTTAGACGACCTAGCCCAGTGAGGGCACTCTGAGGCAGAGGATGAATAGAAAGGCTTTGTAATCAAACAAATGCTATGTTCAATGTTGGCTTCTATTACCTCCTGGCTCTATAACTTTGGTAAGTTATATGGACCTCAATTTAGAGCAATAAAAGGAAGCAAAATTATCTGGGGGCTGAATTCCAGCTTTATCATGTGTCAGCTGTGACCGTACAGTGTAATGGCGAAGGAAGCAAGCTATGGAGTCAACCCACTGGGTTTGAATACGGGATTGGCACCACTTGTATGTATTCAGGCAAGTTACATAATTTTTGTGGGCAGGAGTTTCGTCATCTGTAAATGGAGGAGGGCTGTAAATATCACTTGTCCAGAAGGATTCTGGGGAGTCCTAACTGAGCTTGTAAGTGTTTAGAACAGTACGTAACACATTAGAAAGCATATGATGACTGTAAGCTGTAATAATTACTATCACCACTGTTATTGTTATAAGAACTGTTGCTTGAGGTCACCTGTAGGATGAAGCAAAATCAAGAGAATGAGCCTAGCATACATAGTTCCCAACACATAGTACATTGGTAATAAATGTTTTACTCCAATTGTTTCTAGATATGCAGGTGGCCAGTCATTCTTAACTTTGATGCATCACACATCTTTCTCAGAATCTAATGAAAGTGTGGGGCACATGGGTGGCTCAGTCCATTAAGTGTCTGACTCTTGGTATCGGCTCAGGTCATGATCTCGTGGTTTTGTGAGTTCGAGCCCCACATCGGGCTCCAAGCTGACAGTGCGGACCCCGCTTGAGATTCTCTGTCTCTCTCTCTCTGCCCCTCCTCCACTTGCGTAGTCTCTCTCAAAATAAATAAACTTACAAAAATTTATATAAAAAAAGAATCTAACAAAAGCTTTAGAGCCCATCATTGGAAAAGTACAACTGGATATATCTAAGAACACTGGCTCATAAGTTTAGGGGTTTATTGATCTCCCAGAGACCAGCTAAGAACCCAGCTGTTGAACCTTGAATATGAAACTGGATTCTAGACAGAATTCAATTCACATCTTTTACAATCCCCTTCAGAAATCTGCAGAGGAAGAGACGCAAAACACACAGAGCATATACACTGAAGCAAGCATTTTTTCACACACTGCAAGGCATGGTTGTTGCTGGATGATAAGGTGCTGCTCCTGCCCTCGGAGAATTTATACTCTTGTAAGGGAGACAGTATATAGTATAGTAAAATAAACAAGTTTTTATCAGGTTTCACAGAAAGGAGGACATTATGTAAAGTTTCATTTAAACTCAGGCTTACAGACTAAAACTAGGATTTTGACAGTCAGAATGGAGGCCTGGAAGAGCATTTGAGAAGAAAATGGCCCGATCATGGTGAAGAGTTTGGAAATGAGAGTATGCTTTACAAAAGATAAGCCATTTAATTTCGTTGGGATAAATTCAATCTCTTCAAAGGAGAAGATAGTGGTAGGAGACTTGTCATACAAATAGGATGCTTTGACCTGAAATATTCAAGAATTATCAATCTATGTTGGATTGCAAGTAAGTAACTTCGATTCTAGCTTGAAGAAAAGAAAAGAAGAAATGTTTCCTTTGGAAAGAGAAGGTAGCTCATAAAATCAGAGGTAAAGCTGAAGTGGGTCAGGAAGTGGGACAGCTCCTGGGCTCTGAGAGGTGGGCACTAATTCAGGTCAGCTTCTCAGCACCACAACCGTGGCTACTTTCTACTCCTAGGAGGACCTGGTCTGACTGGGTACGGGGGAATCAGCAGCAGACTAGGCTCTAAGTCTGCATGCAAGAGCGAGTGGGGACAGAGGGAGAGAGGGTGAAGAAAAGAGGGAAAAAGAAAGGGAAATCAAGAGTGGGCAGTTAAAAGTTAACAGATGTGTCTCCATTCACAGGTAAATTTTGCATGCATTACACTTTGCAATCTCCGTTTTTTAAGGCAGAGGGCAGGAGGAGAGGGGTCAAACTTAGAATCCCAGGGCGGACTGAAGAGGGAACACCTATGGAGATCAGTAGAACATGCAGTGGACTCATGACGGCTCTTTGGCATGTGATCAATAACCATTCTGAAATGGATCTATTTTAAACACGATTATCAGGGCTGTCACAATCTGACGGTTCAGAATGACAGCAGGGGGGAACATGTTCAAGCACTGCCGTTTCCACTGCTCAGGAAATAATACGGTGAATGGTTTTAAAATTCCAAATCCCCAGAGCCTCAAACCAGTGCAATTTATTTTAAAATACTTTTTCCAAGCCATGCCCTCTTTAAACCCCAAGTCTTTGATATTTTCCTCTCTTTTGACATAGATAAAGCAGCTCATTAACTGATTATCTATGGCTCTGAAGTCCATCAGCAATCCCTTCAGGAGTCCACATTCATTTCCAGAGCCTCCTAACTGTTTGCAAAGTACTGTGTGAACTGACTGCTCCTTACGTTTCTGATTATTCTGTACTCTTGAGATCTCTGAGATTATGGAACAGCTCCTGCCTGATCACTTTCACTTCATGGTGAAACAGGCTTACTATGCATGTCCTATATCACCTACAGAATGGAGGCCATGGAGTCGCATCATTAACAGTTGTTTTGTTTTGTTTTGTTTCTTTCTGGACCTGAGCTTTCCTGGCATCCACTTCTTCCTTCTTCCAGAATGCACCTTGTTCCAGAGAAGGGCAATTCATTCTTCCAAGAAGGCCTCCCTGACCACACAATCAAAAGACGCGATCCTGTCCCACCAGACAGGCTGTCTCTCTCAACCTCTCATACGTTCCCTTGACAGCATTCACCACAATGTGTGATTTGGAACAACCAGTTGCTGTTCTTTGGAAGTCTACCTCTTCCAACCGAAAGGTAGGTTTCCTGAAAATAGGAACGTGTGCATTCTGTCTGCTCTCCTAGCCCCGTGCCCACCACTGTGGCTGGCACATAGCAGGGGCTCCCAAAGTATCTGCTGAATGAACAGGGGCATGGAACCTGTGTCTTCCTCTACCACACGCGTCCTTCTGCTTTCTCTTACTTTCTCCTTCTCCTTCTCTCTTTCCCTCCTGTGGGCCTTGTCCTCCATTCACTTCCCCCCTTTTCACTCCATTCTCTTCAATCCATTTGTTCAACCAACCAACACCTCTGAAGACCAGCTCCACTTCAGGCACGAAGTCTTGCACGCAAGAGACAAAAAGCAGATACAACCCCTTCCCGCAAGGATCCTACAAGCTTCATTGTTGTGCTTTGTATCTGATTCCCCAAACAGAAAGGAGTCTCCAATTTTCCAGAACAGTCCTAGCACCACACAGTGGGGCCTGTCACCTCCACAACACATTCCCTGCTGCCAGCGGCTGGGACCTCCCGGTGGGGGAGGGTCCAGCGTGGCTGCACACTCGACCGCAGGGCTCCCGGGACCTTGGCAGCGTGAGACCAAGGCCCTCCTGGGGTCACTGAGGAGACCTGTGCCACGTGAGTGTGTGTCCTGCTCCCCGTGGCCCCGCCAGACCCCTCACGCGACTACCCCATGTGGTATCCATGACAACCTATGGATATTCCAGGGGTATTTCAGCTCTTCCCTCTCCCTGTGGGCAGAATCCTACTGTTGCTGTCTGGCGGGCTGCCCTGCCTCGTCACGCATACTTGGCTGCTTTCACTGCCTTCCCTGCACACAGCCCGCCTCTATGGAAATGATTCCCAAAGAAAGGAGAGACCTAGGCGCTCCTGTCTGAGAAAGGAATATGCCACATGGCCTTGCTCCTCTGGCTCCTGATGGCCAGATGGTGGGTAGTCTCCCTATCCAAAGAGAACTCATTTTCAGCTGGGCTGGAAATCAGTTCATAGGCTGGGCTGGGCAAATCTCTCTCACTCTTTCTCTCTCTTTTCAAGAATGTGAATTTGGGAACAGAGGGGGCTGTTAGGCATCATCATCGGCTGTGGGCTGGTGAGGCTGGGTTGCCTGAGGGTTGGGCCACATGTAAACAGAATGCTGAGGAACAGAACGGAATCGGGTGGGCCTGGAGAGAAGCAAGGACGGCAGAGACCCTGGGGCCCCTGGAGGATAGAGACACGGCTTTGGTCCTTAGCAGATTCCCAAGAGGCCCGGCACACTGCCCCGTGTGTTCCCAGGAGTGTGTCCGGTCCCTGACTTGCTTTGTTCCCTGCAACCTAAACACACGAACCAAAGCACATCTTTCTGTGTAGGGTGCTCTTCTGACCCGGCCAAATCTACACTTTCTGTAGAACTCGGCTCTCAACTCCAGCTCACACATAAAGTTGGGAGCTCAGTCTTCCACCTCATGAAGGAGCTATCTGGGCTCACCTCCCAGGAAACGTCCTGTGGTCTGCAACCCGCATGTCCCACCCGAGTGCAGCTCTCTCCTCTCGTCTATTACCCAGCACTGCAATTACACACCCACAGAAATCTACTATCTCAAATATTTTGAGGCCAATGACTTTTCAATACATTTTAAAGCGTGCCTGGGTGGCTCAGTCGGTTAAGTGTTCAACTCTTGATTTCAGCTCAGGTCATGGTCTCACAGGTCACGGGTTTGAGCCCTGCATCGGGCTCTGTGCTGATGGCATGGAGCCTGCTTGGGATTCTCTCTCTCACCCCCTCCCCTTGCCCCTCCCCCCATACTTGCTCTCTCAAAATAAATGCATAAACATGAAAAAAGCCACATTTTTAAAAAAGTGGTGTTATTGGCTACAGGAGGCTATAATAAAAGTAACATTCCAGACATGTGTTCAAGTTTTTTGTGCATTGCTTCTTTGTCCATGTTTATGTCCTGTGCTGGGGCCAATCTCCTCTCTCTCTCTCTCCTTTCTAGGGATAAAGGTGATACATCTTTTTTCAAAATACCTTCCTGGTTTGGAGACAGTGACCACAATCCATACAAACAAGGAAAAGGCTTATAATGTGAAAGATATCAATGGATTCCACTTCAAAGATCTCATGTTTAATAAAGTACCTGAGTAAGGTATGAAAAAGGAAGATCCAATGCAGGTGACACAAAGAACAATCAAGGAGTTACCTAATAACTCGCTGATCTAAAGCCAGAAAACTTGGTTATTGGTCCTGCTCAGAACCAGGTTTTAGAACAACTTGAAAATTATTTTATGATGTTCGAGTACTCAATGGATTTAGGATGGGGAGTACCGAGAAAACCAGCTGGCTTTCGGCTCCAATTAAAGACAAGGGCTCCTGTCTAATTGCAAAGCTGCTTACAACTGCCTTCAAGTATTATTTACTCACTGATCACATCCTCAAATAATCTGCAACAGGCTAAGAGGATTTCTGGGGAAGAAATTGTACGAATCTTTTGAATTCCTATTTGGAAGCATGTACAGAGGTGCTTATAAAAGATAGTTTTAGCCACATCACAGAGAGAAAATTGCAATATTTAAAGGACAAGTATTTAATATGGCAATATTTAAAGGACAATTCAGTGGAAAGATACATTTTGGGACATCTGCCCAGCTCTATAGGATTCCCCTTGTTTAGAATTTCTCGTCTCTCCCAAACCCACAAGGTTGGAGTGGTCTGGGGTTGCATCCCTGCTCTGTCACTCATTAGCAGTGCTGCAAATTATCCAACAAACTCTCTGTCCCTTGATATCTTTGTCTGTAAAATGGGGATTATATTCTCGGGTGGTTGTGAGGATTAAAGAAGATAATGCTTAGAACAGCAACTGGCATTTAGTAAATAACAAATGTCAGCCATTATTTCTGAGCTCCACGCTCCTGGCCTGGCTACCCATGCCGGAAGCGTCTGATTTCTCCCCCTGGGAATTTGGAATCGGGATGGCACTGGGGGTTAATCTTCCCATGCAGCTGCACCTGGAGTATGAAACCTTGGTACTTGGCTTTGAGGTCTGAGGAGCAGAGAATGTGGTCCACACAAGAGAAATAAACCTCAGTGGGAGAAAGCAAGTCCGACCTGGGGTCCTCATCATTTTCCCTGTCCTGCTTCAAGTCCCGGGCTGAGCCGGCTCGCCTTCCTGCCCTGGTTTCTAGCAGACGCCAGTCTGCTTATAAAAAAGCATCCTTTGTGCTTGGACTAACTTGGGGCGGGGGGGCTTATACAGGCAACCAAGAATCCTAACTAATCCACCAACACTAGAAAAAAGATGAAATCTACTTAGGAGAAAAAGGAGGAGGTACAGAGGGAAATGAATTACAACATGCCACCAGCGAATAGCCAAGACAGTCTCTTCATCAATGAATTCGTAGTGGGAATTTTCCCCAGAAACTCGGTTTCAATCTGCTTTTTCACTTTTCCAGGATTTTCTCCTTTTAGATCCAAAGACTTTGACATTAGGTTTTAGTTTTGTTTAAAAAAAATTTCAAGTACACAGTAGGTGCTTCCAGAGTGACATGACAGGGAGAGAGAAGTCTTTATAAACAGGAGTCTCTACCTTGGGAGTTTTTTAAGGCAAAGACATGGACTGAACAGGTCAAAGTGGAGAGTGCCTTCCCCACCCCCTCAAAGATCTTTCTCGAGGAGAAAACATGGTTTTGACTTTTAACAACATAGATAATGGTTTTAGCAAAGAAGAAAGAAGGAAATTTTATTAGGTTTAGGTGTCAACAAGGGCCAAGAAACACCGAACAGAAACATTTTTCTCCCTCCCTCCGCCCCCTCCACCAACTCACTGATGGAACAATATAAGAACTCCTTTTGCCTCCTGTGGAAAGAAAAAGGAGTTGGGGAATCTAAGTCCTTATTCTAGGCTCATTTAACTCTCCAACAAGTCACTTAACTGTAGGGATCCCAAGAAATCAATTCCCCTCAATCTAGCAATTGTTCAGCTGCGGACAGCCTCGTGCTTGGCTTATAATGTTGTCATTCAGCTCTGTGCCCCGCCGTCAGTTTTGACCACACTTCCGAGAAGAATGGGGTGGCAAAAATCAAAAAGACATTCTCAAAGAACGGAGTCCGGTGTTGGAGGGTTCAACATTTGGCCTTTTGTGTCAGCCGCGTGTGGGCCGCCTCCGGGAGAAGGCCAGGGGGGTGAATGAAAGGGCGCACTTCACGGGGGGGACACAGGCACAATTCAGGCTCAGTCAATAGCAGACCCGGCTGGAATGCGCTCTGAGGCGCGAGGTGGGTGGACTCCCACGCAAAGGGCATTCTCACAAGAGAGCCTACCTGGATTGAAATAAAAAATAATATTTAATAAGTCCTGGTCTCCCCACGTGATGGCATTCTTGTACTTCTGGTACAGAGGGTATAGCATGTCCTCCCAAGCCAAGCCTGCTGGAATCATGCTGTTCTGGAAAAGAGAAAACCAGTAGAGCGGCTGAGGCCCAGCGAATACATTTTGTCCACGGAGAAACCTGGTCCCCCAAATCCCCCCAGGAATGAAGCAAAATAGAGGAGGGGTCCTGCTGGCCTCAAGACACAGGACAAAGCAAAACTAGGGCTGCAAACTGTGGAGTTCTGCCAGATGGCACATGGATACTAGATGGGCCAGGGACCACGAGCTGGGGCTGCAGTTTCCGCTCAGAAAACTATGCCCAAACGGAACCTCTCTTTCTTATGCTGAATTCCTGCCTCAGACAGCAAGGAACAAAACACAGATGGCAGAATTAAGGCATCTAAGGTAAAACACCTTCTCCTTGTCTTAACGTAATTTACTTTTAAAATAAAAGCAACACATTCATAGACTAAATATTCAAATAGCACACAAAGATAAAATTACAAAGTAAAAATATTCTTCCTCCATCCTCCTACCATTTCCACCCCCACTCTTCCCAGAAATATCCACAGTTAACAATTAGGTATTCTCTTAGGTATTTCTTCTGGAAATTTCTAAGCCACAAAGGAGATCATACTTTATGGTACCATGCTTTGTTGCATTTTAACTTTTGCCCTTAATATCTTTTTAGTCTTACTTATCTTACCTATAGATTGATCTACCTCTTAGTAAGAGGAGGATTTTTTTTTAATTGACTAGATCTCTACTGATGTTCATTTAAGTTCTTTCCAGTTCTCTACTAGGATAAAAGATGAGGCCATGAGCAGTCTTTTACAAATATCTCTGTATGCTATGTAAATATATCCCTCGGATAATTTCACAGATTTTTCTATGGCTTTTGCAGTTTTGGGTATACACAGAATTTAAACATTATAGAATTCAGAAATGCAACATAACATTCTTGAATAGTAAGCGTGCTGAAGCTTTAAATTCCTCCACAAATACCTGGGCTTTTCCCGAACAAACAAGTATTTCATAACTTTCCAAATGCTCTCCTCTTACCTGGCTCCTTCCTTCCTCACCTATAAGCCCCTTAACTTCCAAAATCAGTACACTGACAATCTAGGAACCTCACTGTTGAAATGACAAAACCCCAAATTCTAAACACGAAATAGAAAGTACTTCCTTACCTTAAACTGGGCACTTCTTATACGAGTTAAATTCATCAGCATGACTCCTGAATTAACTCCTGCAGAGCCATAGTAAGGGTGCCGAGCAAAGCGGCTGTACCAGCCAATCTTGGGGATTTCATGTTCCGGGGCCATGGCTGCAAGCTGGGTGGCATTAAACTGCCTCAGAAGCTTCCAGATGTCATCGACAGGTCTCAGAAAGAGAACGTCGGTGTCCACATATAGAAGGGAATCCACATCCTTTAAAATTACCTTTGTGTATTTGGGGAGAGGGGAGAGAAATCAAAACAAAAACAAATCAGAAACAAAGGAAATGATCTGATAGGTCAACAGGGCCACCAATTTCACTGGTCAATGCTGAATTCCAGAAAGGTGTTATGACTCTTGGCTTTCATTCCTTCCGTCTCCTTTGACTTCCGAGATGAATATTAATTGAAGGGTAGAGACTCAAAGGAAGATGAATCTTCATTTAGTCTGGTTCAATTCTAGGACCCTAGACTATATTGGGGAAGGGTTGAACCTTCAAAGGAATGACAGCATCAGCATATGGACCGAGGGTCTCTCATCTACTTTCATCCTTCCATGAAGCCGTCTGTCTTTCTTAGTTTTTTCTTAGATCGTGGGTCTGGCATTAGACAACTTGAAGTGGACAATCTCTAGATCAGCTCATGCCAGCGTTTGGGGTAAATACTCTCTGTCTCTGGATCCATTTCTTCTAGTGTTGATGGGTATAACTGCACCTTTTTGAAATGACATTTTTAGCTAAGATTTAGTCTTGGGAACAGGAGAAACAAATCATTGGCCAGCTTTGTTTGTAGATCAGAGATTGGCAAACTTTTCCTCTAAAGGATCAGATAATAAATCTTTCAGTCTCTTCATGGCAACAAAACAAAGTCTGCCATGGTAGTATGAAAGTTACAATAATGCATAAAGGAATGGGCATGGCTGTGTTCCAATAAAACTTTATTCAGGGGGACTAAAATCTGCATTTTATAGGATTTTCAGATGCTACAAAATCTTTTGCTTTTTTTTTTTTTTTTTTTTTAACCATTTGAAATGTAAAAGCCATTCTTGGCTCATGAGCTGTGGTTTTCAACTTCTGTTGCCATTCATTCAAGCCAGCCTTCTGAAGCAAATGAATTCTCCTGTCCCAACTACTTGGCTTACGAGAGTTTTACCTTGGAGTTAGAGATTTCAAAGACTTAGTTACTAATTGTGTTATTTGCCTTATTTTGCCATTATTCCCCAAATATTGTGGTAGCTTGATTAAAGAAGGATTTGAATATTCCTGTATCCCTTGGCCTAACATTATCCGAACAACAACGTAAGACCTAATACCATAATGACACTTGCAATGGGGTCAGCGTCTGTATCTTCAAAATTCATATGCTGAAGCCCTAACTCCCAATCTGATAGTATTTGTGGATGGGGTCTGTGCGAGGTAATTGAGGTTCAATTAGGTCCATGAGAGTGGGGTCTTCATGAAGGGATGAGAGCCCTTATGAGAAGCCAGAGACCCTGTTCTCTATCATGAAAAAAAGAATGAGAAGCAGCTGTGTCAAGCCAGGAAGAGGTACTTCTTAAACAAAACCCGACCAAGCTGGCACCATGATCTCAGACTTTCAGCCTCCAGGACTATGAGAAAAGACATTTCTGTGGTTTAAGCCCCCAGTCTTTGGTATTTTGTTACGGCAAGCTGACTAAGACAATGTTCCACTGGGATCCCCAATATTTAAAATCGATGAACATGTATGTGCAGTATATGATGGATTATCATGCACATTTCAGACTTGAATGGTTTCAGAGCTTACATGATCAGCCACAGGATTTAGCTTTCTTTCTCACTAGGGGAATAGATTTTACAAACCAATAAAAAGAAATTAAGAATAACGATTACCAAAAAAAAAAAAAATAATGATCACCTATCATTTCATAAAAGATTATCTTGACATCCATCTTAACAATTTGAAAATCTTAATTTCAGACTTAAGATGAATTTTTCAAATTAGACACACAAACTTAAAAAAAATATGCCCTACCCTATCCTTATTTTTTTCTTATTTTGCCATGGAAAGGTAAAAAGTTTGTCACAGACTAGCATCTATGTGATCATTTTGTTTTGTATTTTTGTTTTTGTTTTTTTAAATCACAGTTCCAGAGTACTGTGGAGCAAAGGCAAGCTCTCGACAGAAGTATTAGTAACTGCATTTTATGATACAAACTATGAATTACATGTAAATACAGTCATGATGCCTTGAATGCCCAACACCATGCCAAGGGCTCAACCTCCTGTCAATTTATTTTACTGGGAAGAAAAGCTAAAGCAAAGTAAAGGGTTCTGTCCAAGTTCATCTGTCAAATACTGCTAACGATTGCTGCATTTGGGCTAATAAGGTTATAGCAAGATTAAGTCACTTTCTAGAATGGGTATTCAGGGAAAAGAGACTGTATGATGTTCCAATAAAAAGCTAATTTAGAATTACAGAATTACAGAGGAAGAGGAACCTATTTAAACCCATGTGAAATAGTACAAATTTCTCTTTATGGCTGATTATCTAATAAGGCCTGAATAAAAGCACATAATTTAATGCTTTAATAAATTAAGGGTTATGCAGACCTCTACCCAGAAGAATCAAGCTTGATCTTAGCCAAAAGGCTAAGAAGTGATAAGCTTGCTGACTTGATTGCCCTATTATTTTCTTGGCCTTAAATTATCATTTTTATTAAAGTTATCATAACTTTTTCAAAATATTACCATTCCTCATCAAAAGAAAAAAGAAAAAAAGAAAGACTCTTCTGAAGAAGGTTTGGAAAAAAATTAAAAAGATCTGAAAAATAGAGATATTCCAATAGGAAGTTATAGGCAATATCATTAATCAAGAAAGACAAAGGAAGAAAGTTGTATTGGAAATTTATAAAACCAGAATAAGCTTATATAGGGTAAAATTTTTATTTAACCAATACCAATTATTTGGTACACAAGACTGCTCCCCTTTTTTATTATCATAAACAATACTACAATAGGTGCCTTTTTTGGGAAATTTCTAAGCACATAATATGGCATTTCTTTTTCTCCTTTTTTTTTCATTTAATTTTTTAAAGTTTGTTGCTTGCTTATTACTTGTTTTGAGAGAGAGAGGGGTGCTTGGGTGGCTCACTCGGTTGGGCGGCTGACTTCGGCTCAGGTCATATCACGTGGTTCGTGGGTTCGAGCCCCGTGTCGGGCTCTGTGCTGAGCACTAGCTCAGAGCCTGGAGCCTGTTTCAGATTCTGTGTCTCCCTCTCTCTCTGACCCTCCCCTTCTCACACTGTCTCTCTCTCAGAAATAAATAAAACATTAAGACCCATATCTAATCCCTCCTCTGTGGGATTCTGGAGACATGTCTCCTGGAGTAGGACTGAGGGACACAGAAAAAAAATTTAGGAATACAGTTCCTGGCTACTAATTTTGGGAAACTTGCAAGACTTTAGTTAAGAAGGCAAAGCCATCGGCGCCTGGGTGGCTCAGTCGGTTAAGTGTCCGACTTCTACTCAGTTCATGATCTTGTGATTCATGAGTTCAGGCCCTGCGTTGGGCTCTGTGCTGACAGCTCAGAGCCCGGAGTCTGCTTCAGATTCTGTGTCTCCCTCTCTCTCTGCCCCTCACCTGCCTGCACTCTGTGTTTTTTTCTCTCTCTCTCTCTCAAAAATAAATAAGCATTAAAAAAAATGGCAAGGCCAGTTCAACTTCCGCTACAGATTACAAACTAGGGCCTGTGGGTCAAATTCAGCCAGTGAATGGATTTCTTTAAAAATTGACCACATAGCCTTTTTAAAAAATTGAGTTAGTTGCCAAATTTTTTTAAACTGAAGATCTCTCAGAAATATCCGCATTTCTGTCTTTAAAAAAAAGAAATCGACAGTCCCGACAAGAACAGTCTGCATCCCACACGGGAACCATCTGCTGGTGCTGCTTTACAGGCACTCCTTGCATTTCCTGCTCATTCATACAATCAACATTTATGTAGGGTCCACTAGGTGCCAGGGGTGACCAGCAGTGACCAAGACAGACAAAAATCTCTGCCCTCAGGAGGGAGACAGATCCTAAATAAGATATACTGTTGACATAGTATATAAATATAAAATTTATTTATAGTATATAAATAAAGCAGGAAAAGGGACCAGGGGTCCCAGGGATAGAGGAGTTTCCAATTTTGAATAGGGTTGGAGAGAAAGTGGTGCTTCGAAGAGGTGAGTAAGTGGGAATAAAGCAGGCTGGCATACTTCCAGAACAGCTGGGGACCAGTGTGGCTGGACCAGGGCTAACCAAGGGAAGAAGAGTCAGGGAGGAAGACAAGAGAGGTATGTGGGCCACTTAGGGCTTTGTTTGCCCTTGGAAGAACTTTGGCCTTTACCCTGAGTAAGATGGAAGCTAGTGGGGAGATTTAACAGAGGATGACAGGATCTGACTTAGCGAAATGGTCACTGTGGATGCCACACTGAGAGCAGGTGATGAAGGTACGCAAGGGAAGCAGGGAGAGCAGTTAGGACACCATTTTAATAATTCAGTTGAGATGTGATGGTGGTTTGGCTCAGGGAGTAACAACCCAGCGAGTGGGTAGTGGTAGAATCCTCGATATAGTTTAAGGGAAGGGCCAACAAGATTTCCTGATGGACTCTACGTGTTGTGTGAGACAAAGAAAAGTCAAGCGCAATTCCAGGGATTTTAACCTGAACAAAAGGTATGACAGAGTCACCTTTAACTGAGATGCCACCTGATGTGTATCATTCCCAAGTTACCTGTCTGGCCCTCACGGGTAAGTATCAGCATTTGTAGCCGCTGAAGCCTAGCTCCCTCACTCCCTCCTCTGTATCTGCTCTCCTTGAAATGTGAAGAAGCCATAGGTGCCCTGGGAAGGGATCCACGAAGGGTGGGATTCTGGGGCAATGGTCAGATCACCTAGTTCTTGACCATCATGGTGGTTACAAAGGCATGAGCTTATTAAGCATATAGAGAGTTTGGGTAGGTAGGTCATATTTCCAAATGGACACACAGAAGCAGCCCTAATGGCACACCTCGGAGAAGTGACAGTCCTTGAAAGCTTGAGTCTGGTATTTGTGAGTTCAATTCCTGGCAGGATGACCTCCTAGCCCTGTGGCTTTGGACAAGTTCCTTCCTCAGTCTTTCCAGGCCTCAGTTCCCCATCTGTAAAACCTGGAAAGCACGATCTCCACCACCACCACCCCTGTCCCCAGGTCGTCCTCGTGACCCA